CATATATGGTAAACTTTTTTTTTTCTGAAACAACTCTTTTTATAATGTATACACTGAAGACAAACTTTAATAATAAATGAAATAATAGACAGTGGTGCAGGCCACGTCTTGTAAATGAGAACTGCTATTGTATATATTGGCGAGTATGCCAAAAATTCACTATCTACACAAACAAATTAACTACTCCATTCATGGCAGATCCTGCTGATCTTTGTAACCAAGCAACAGAGCAAAGGTCACATACTTTGTATTCTTATGAAATAGACGCCAAATCTCTCCTTAATTTTTAAAATCGAATATCTAATGTAATTAACATTATACGTTCAATAACACGAGACCATGCTCTTTTGAGCCACAGAAAATTAAATTACAACTTACAATTTAAATTGTCACAATAAAATTACTAAAATATTTATCGTTTTTTGTATTAGTTGCTATGGTGAAAGTATTTCATTTTATTAAATCTAGAAACTTTGCTCGTTAGTAAAGTTTTATACTGTCATTGAATTTTTACTTATATATATTTTCCTTCTATTTTCAAGGCATTTTCTTCCATTGTCATACGTACAGTACACAAACAATGTGAAATTGGTTCAAAATCTGTTTCTAGATATTAAAAATTCGGTATTCATTGATCTCCAATTGGCATGATCACTTTGAAGAAAGATTTAACCCAATCACAGAACTCAAAGACTAGTAAACTAATTGTTGTCAATGAAATTATGATTTAACAGTTTGTCACCATCCATAATTTTAAACCAATATAATTTTTTCCAAAATTTTATTAAGAATTGTAGCCAATGGCAAATTTGATTGGGATATTGGGTTATAAATTCCAAATTTAGAATGTCAAATGTCAGTAATTTGATATGAATGTTTTGATGTGTATTACATCATAATAAATGTAGTAAATACTTAGTGATTGCACTTTCAGGGTGTGACCAGAAACAAAGTTGACAAGATCGGAACGTTCCTTTTTTCTTTGAGATTTCACTTATCAGGAAAATTAAGGGACGGCTTAGTTTCTATTACTCTATCCTACCCATTCATTCTTTTAAATCTTGGTGATCCATTCCAGAAGAAATCAGTTGACCCCTCCACCCCACAACAAAAATACCTGGAGTAGAATGTTATTGAGTAATCACAGAAAGAGAGAACTCTTGTGTGCTGAGGATATTGGAGACATTAAGGTAGAAGCCTAGTCAAAATTTTTGACAAAATTGGTTATAAATAGCATGAAATTGTTCATTAGTTTATTATGTACAATCATAAAGCTAATGTCCCATGGTACAATGAAATAGCATTCTTTTGTGTGTTACAGTTAAGTTTTTTTGAGAAACGTGTCCTACTATTTCTTGAAAATTGCTATTTATAGAACTATTCCATAGAACACAATGTTAAAGAAAAATTGCATTTTTTGACACTTTTTAAAACCCAGATTTTTTAAATAAGTCAGAACAAAAAGTACTTCATCATTAACAATAATATGATTTTTTCAGCCTATGTCACCAGGCTAGATTTTGAGATATTGCAAAATATCTCTGCCATAGGAACCTGTGGTAAAAGTGTTATAATACATGTAGTGTCAAAATGGCGACTTCCCACTCAAATACAACCATCAATTTCTCGAAAAAAAGGTTGGTGACCCCAACTTTTTTAGGTCAATATCCTTATATTGCCTTGGAGTACAATTTATTGCAAAATGAATAAATTATGTTTTTTTAATATATAAGCAAGTTTTACTATTTTTTGAATTCAGATACACAATGTAATGTGTTATTATTAACACAATCACAGTGCAAGTCATAGAACTTTATTGTACAAAGCAACCTACTGATTTGAAGAAGTTCAGGACAAGCCAAAAATAAATACCGGTAACCAATATTAGACTAGGAAAATAAGATTATGACAGACCAACATCTCCCACCCAACCCCCATGACATGACGCCATTTTGTACCAACTGCTGAAGCCTCGTCCATTGAAGGAATAACAAAAACATAACATTGACAAAACAAGAATACTGTATAGTTTTCATAACCTCATATTAAGTTTAATTTTGATATATCAATTTTATTATAATATAATATAATAATCAAAATAAGCCACTGCAAATATACTTTAAATACAATTTTTTGTATAAAATACTGAGGTTGTTACCTGATATTCCTTGTTCATAGAGCTGGTTGGTACAAATGACATTGTGGCCACACAAGAATCATCGAGCTCTATGAACAAGTGATATAAGGAGATATACTTTTTATCACGTGACCAATTTGACATGACACATGGGTAATGTAGCTAATCTATGGCATGTTATTAACTTTTTGTTTAATGCAGTTACTATTTATTAAATAGAGATCCATTTTCAAATAAAATGTATCCTATTTCTTAGCAAACTTTAAAAAAAGTATTTATTTCCAAAAAATGTTAATACCATGCACAAAATCAGCCCTGTCATCTGGTCAGGAGAGAATCACACAGGATTACAGGTGCAGCAGTCAGGGAAGAAAATGTGCAATAAAAATGTTGGTTGACAAAATAACTAAATATGAAACAGTAATATTTATCAATGAAGCAACATGGTTATTCTGACATTCTGTATTTACAGTAAAACAGGAGAACTGTTTTTGTTCACTGATTTAGTTAGATCATGATATGTATAAACTGTACTACTCATTGAAAGTAACAACATATTTGATTATTCACATCAGAGAAAACTGCATTAAACCGTTCAAGAGAAAATATTGTGCATGTTCAAATCATAATAAGAGTCATAGAAAAAACATTGTGATTCACTACGTAATAACCATAAATTACAACAATTTCCAGTAGCTATTATGTATGCTCTAATGTAATCTGATTAAATGAGATCTCATTACAACAGTATATCTCATTAGTTCAACTGTATTTATAGATGAGTTCATGTTCTATTTACATAGGTTTAAGCAGTCAGTTCAAAATATTCATCCCTTAGGCATGAGGGATCAAAAAGGTGAAAACATTCCAAGGTCATCAACTGATAATCCCTGAGTCCATGTATATAGTTTATCTGCTTCCTTTTCCCAATCCTCTTCCTCTGCATCTTCCTGAATATCTTCTGTTTTTCCTGGCATGTTCGCTGGTACAGTTTTTTCTCTGCGAAAGGAATTCTCAATGTCACCATCTGCCTAAAAGAATAGAAAATGAATCTCTGTTTAACTACTACATTTGGAAAAATACTAAAATATTCACACACCACTGCAATAATAATATAAAATGGTGATCAATTTATGTGCATAATAATGGTCACTATTGCTTCAGAAAAGAAAATAACTACCCTTTATTTTATTTTCACTGTTATAAGAGGAAAAATAAGAAGAAAAATAATTTTGGTCAATTTGTTTTCCAAAATCGATGAGCACACAATTTGTTATTGTTCTTTTAAAATTGTGCTCTTATTTTGATTTTTTCATTTTCATTAAAAATTAACATTTTCTTGCCCTTAATGATTAAAAATAGAGCAATTGATTATAACAATAAATTAGTACCTGCTTATGATCTAGAGGCATGGTATATACTTGACGCATTTTATATGCACGTTCCTTTGCTTGTCTAGATCTCCTGGCTGAAAGTCCAGGAATACTTTGTCGACTCGCTAGTCCAGATTTTGGTGTGGGTGCTGGTGTAATTGGAATAGATCTGAAAAGTGAGACCAGAGTGGTTTTATGTATATGATAGTTATTATTTCTCAAGGGCCATTATACAATAATATAACATGAATTGCATAAAAGTTTCAAAAATAGTACAGCAATATACCTAATCAAAATTTAAGAAATGCCACAATCAACCTAAGATCCTTAAACAGGGTAATAATATATCCCAGTTTGATTCGATGGATAACAATTGTTAACTTTAAATCGAATCGTCATTTCAATTTTACAAACCGACACTGTGTTTCAGTGACGAATAGATTGTGAGACTGATTGCGTCTACAGTACATTGTATTAACTCCTGGAATTCACAAAATTATAGCCACCCACTATGCTTGACCGAGTATTTTAACAACAACAAAATATCAAAATTTCACTAATTCTACAATAAAGTCAAGCTGTGTAAATAAGTACAAGTTGGAAATACCCTTGATCTGAAAATGCTGTATTTGTGGGACATTGCTCATAATGGAAATCTGTGAAGCTCAAGTGGTTCTGATGTTCAGTGTTCTGATTGAGATTTTAATGTTTATGACATGACTGAAACACATTTTATGAATACATTTTGACAGCATATCAGTATTCTATGTAATGTTCCTCACTATAAAATAAAGAGCAATTTCTTTTCAACATGTGATGTTCATTTCGCCAAGTGTGAACATGTTTCAATGTTTCTGTCCCAGTTATTCTTTATGGTGAATACATAGTTTTGACAAGTTCAAAGTGTGTAGGGCAGATTGAACGTATGATTTTGAAGAGAGTTAGAAAAATGTCAGTATTTAAAAGTAATAAAAGTGTTAATAAAATCAAAATGACCATGACCATAACAATGCCCCTGTGTGACAGACACTATTACAATATATAAGAGGTATTTTACCTCAGCTGTGATATTGTTCTAATGTGCGCTAGCTGTATTTCCTGCGTGATAGGACGTGCCATAAGTAATGGCATTTCTTTTCGAAGTCTATCAGATGGACTACCACATCTCATGTAATCTACTATGTCATACAGTATTGTAGTTCTGGGTAGTGCTATAAAAGATGGAAGACAAAGTGGTTAGCTAACACAGAAATGCAAAAGAATTCACCTTTAGTAATGACATATGAGAATCTTATTAATTCAACATCTAATAATTATTTTATAACTGAATAAATGATTGAAGAAATGTCTCGAATAATGGAAGTAATTCACTATCACAATGCATATGACTTACCAGAGAGATCAAGCTTCCTCCAGTGGTTGTCTTTACCACCTAATGTTGCTGGTAGTTCATCTAAATTACTCAAATACTGGGAACGAAATATTGTTATGTAGTGAATGATATGCCATTACAATGTAAATACATGTATGGTGGAGATGATACCACGATTCAAACCAGGATATTTATCGAAGAGTTGCAGAGGTTCTGGATGTCATATAACCACATTTCAATTGCAACACATGAAAGATATTCTTGAGAACCAGAATACAAAGTAGATAAGTGTATGGGTGGGATAACTACACTCTGCCACTACCGTATATGATGAGTGGGAAACATTCTCAATTTGGTATTGAACACACAGAGATAAAATACAACAACTTGAAGTGTAATAAGGGGGTTAGAACTTTAGAGTTATATGATGAGTCATTATTACAACTAACCTGCATATAGTCTTTCATAGTTGTTACATCTATTTCATCTGTAATTTTACTTTTGTCATGTTGACAAGCATCAGTTATCATCTGATCATAAAAATTCCTATGTCCCATAAGTCGACATGCATCCTCAGCTGCCTGTCAAACAATTTAATAATCACCACTCATTAATAAAGCCATGTGCTTGGAAAGACAGGATGATGTGAACGGTCTAGAATTTTGTTGTTGATTGAAGGTGATTATGCATTTTGTGGGTTTGTGGGAGCAAACAATGTTTAGGTCAACGCTCAAGCTACAGATATTTACAAATTGCTATGAATGTGTCCATAAACTAGGATAATATTAATTATTAATACTAGTACTATAATGAACAGAAAAAATAAAAGTGGGGTTCTTACCTCAGATGCAGGTCTAATACATTTCTTTCCACTGATATATTTAACACCTTGTCCACCCGTATGCATGTAAATTTTAAACAATATAAATGGGGGAAATTCAGTACCACCAAACCTGTTAGAAATAACAAAACAACTCAGTTCCCCCTTTTCGTCACAAATTCACAAAATAGTCCTGTTTATAGTCTGCACTTTCTTTCAGAACATAGGGGTAACATTTTTTGAGTAAAAACTAAAAATTGACTCAATTTTTGTTTGTTGGCTTCAAAATTAGGGTTCATTTCTAGAAACATTTAAGAATAAATGAAAAAAAGTGCGGAAAAATTTGGACGAGAAAGTCTACTGGTGAAAGGACAGAAAATTGTAGTAAATGAATGGTACCAGAATACACATTACTATTGTACACTCACCTAAATCTAACCCTCACTTGAACACTAGAATCTCTTAGAAACTGTGCCTCCGAAGGACAGACCTTTCGTAAAATTTCATGTGATAGTGAATGTTCCTGTAAAATATATAATTTATGAGAGGCATGAATGAACTCTTCTGAAGTAAGTAACAGAATCATTTTCTGGGTGCTATTATTGGACAATTCACTTTTCTCATGCCACAGCAATTGTTGACCAGTTTAGGTTCTAACATATTCCATAAATGTGAGCGCGCCACTTGGAACACAAATAGTCAACAATGGTTGAGGTAAGATAAAAGGAAATTCTTCTGTTTCTTAGTTGAATATACTGAAATTGTAAATTACCAAAACCTGGAATATACTAGTATGTGTCAAGCATATAATACAATTTATAACAGCGATAGCAATGGTTCAAATTTAAATAATAGTTACTCTATTAGAAGTGTATCTATAATGGAAGTGCACTTAAACAAAAAATTGCATTTATTGTATTCTGGTTCATTTAATTATGATTTTAACCACAGACATGTCACAGACATATAAGCAACTAATAAAGCAAATATGGTAACTTTATACTTACAGCAGCACAAACAGCATGTTTCAGGAGACGAAACATTTGCCTGTCTCTATAAGAACACCATGCCCTCTCTAGGATACGAGTGGCAAGAATTCTACTGACACTGCAAAGGAAAAATTACAATAAGAATCACAATATGAAAGTCACATACCAATACTATATGTTTCCCTACTTATTGTGTGGAATAACAATAGAGTATTATACAAACTTGTATACTATGATGTTTCAATATTGAAGTTCTTATTTAATCATGGAATTGTCTATAATCCCTCAGGTGAATTTAGAGAGGCAAGCCTTTAGTTTTCTAGTTTCAAATGATAGGCTTCTAGGCATTTAAATAATGATAATAAGAATAATAATAATGACAAGGCTCAAATAAGTGCAGAGAAATTATTATTATCTTCTGTGGTTGTGGGTCTTTGTTTGCCCTAGCTAGCCCTAGTGTGATCTTAATCTTATTTCATATACATTGCATCAGTCTCTTCATAGACTATATATGAATACACTTATAAAAAACTTAAACAATTCATTCAGGCAGTAATAAAATTACAATGAACAAGCAAAAACAAACAAGCACAATGTTACAGTGACACCTCTCTAAGTCGCGGGTGTAGGGATCGAAGCGAAAACCGTGACTTATTGCGGGTCATCTCTTACCAAGAGCCTCATGAAATGAACCTTTGACTTGATTTCAGCTTTCTTGACATAGTGGATCAATGCAAGTTTTTTATGTACGGACAAAAAGGAGCGACCGAGAAGTACACAAAGTGATAAGGTCATGACTTAACACCCCGTTGACACCTTGAGGCCACGATCGTCCTTTGTATCTCAGTAATTAACAGACAGTAGATGTTAAGTTGTCTCCTCCAGCCCTTTAACGGCTATTTAAATACATGATGCAATGAAAAATTTGTTTTTTTACTTCGAAACTGTTTGCAAAATCCAATAGAATGTTTGGGAGCCATCCAACTACCCGCTAAAATCATGACTTACTGAGGCACGACTTAGTGAGGGGTCACTCATGACTGTATCAAAATCTTCAAAAAACTGTACACTGACAACATTTCATGTTTTTTATAACATAGTTACATCAGGGAGCTGTAAATCTCATTACAGCTCCCTGGTTACATGTAGTAACTGTTAAGTGCTGATAATAGTAATGCATTTATTGTAACACATTTACTGATATCGTTTAGCTATTTGAAGGCAGGAAACTGATCACTGAATCCTGTATACAGTGCTACTCTTTCTGTATTACGAAAATTACTAGATATGATCATGGAGGTAGAAACCTCCATGATATGATGTACCCCGGTATTGAACTTCATCTTCTATTATTGCAGAATTCGTTGGTGTCTGCCCATTCCTATTTTTGATAACACCCTGTTGAAAAGAAAATCCACCTTTGATTCAATAATAAAATATTATATCCTTCACAAACACCTCATCTTGTTCTTGATCAACCAAATTTCTACACTAGTATATTGTAATACTTACTCTCTATCACTAAGTACCCCCTGGCTTTCAGCAGGTTCAGCCGCACCAATTGGATTGGGTACACGGGGCAACTGCTGTAAAGAATGTTCACTGGGAACAGTCACGTTGATTGTAGATCTACTGCCTTGACTAGCATGATGTGACCCAGTTCGTTCCATGGCCATTGCCATTTTGATTACGTATTTCAGTTCATAAAAACATAGCACGTTCAAGTAAAGTGTCGGCGAGCACAGCAAGTTCCCAGCACTTTCAAAATTATAGACAACTTCACACAAACCCAAGTTGCTGTTAATCACCAGGTCTTGTATTTCATTACAGGGAGCACTGGTAGCTTTCAAAGCGAGAACTGACTACAGCTTAATCGATGTATAAACTAAACACAAAATAATATATCGATAGACAACGGAATCAAAACCAGCATTATCAACACCAATATTTCCTGCGATTGTTTTGATTTTGTCAGACAATCTTGTTTCAAAATGGCGACTGTTTTCCCACAATGCCTTGCTGGTGGCTAGGCTACGAATGGAGCGGCTAGGTTGCTTATGATATGTAATCTCGAAATTTCCCACTTCAACATATAGTCACTGAGAATGAAATCATTGAATAATAACACCCTTGCCAATTCGGGAAGTGTGTTAACTATCAGTTTAATGTTTTTCACATCATTATAGTCATGTACCATATTCTATTTCATGTGCAGGTCAAACTCCAGGTCACAGCTACGTATTTCTAAACTACTGCATAGGGAGTTCAACTACTAACGCGAGATGTTGACTTTCGTAACGAGACTCTACAAATTCCTTGAGTTTCGGCACGAAGAGTGTATCCTGTGTTATCCGTCAAACGTGTATTTGCTGTTTCGGAAGGGACACTACGTTTTCTGGGATAGGTAGACAAATCAGTCAAGGCAAGTTCCTTTCGCGACAAAATTGCGCGTCCACCCTGGCAACAAAATGCGTTTGAAGACTACGTTAGCAAAAGAACCAAAACATATCCTTTTTTGTGAATTACATTTTTATTTTGTATATTATTGACTACTATGTACTAGGATTATTATTAGAAACACATTTTAGTGTAAGCATTTTTCTGTAAACTATTTTTCCAAAGTACGTTTTCTTAACTTCTGAGTACATAAAGAATTGGTGAGCTGTGTGGCATGGACCAAAGCAGATGAATTGTATTCCTGTGGAGATGATCATCAAATAATGAAATGGAATCTCATGTCGGATGAAACCACTCAACTAGCAAAGTTGCCAGCAGAAGTATATGCCACAGATATACATTTTTTCCCTAAAGCCACTGGTTCAAAAGGAAAGCAAGTACAAGCAGATGTATTTGTACTAACGTCTACAGATGGTTAGTTCTAACCCTTGACTAAAACTTCTTATTTTTCTTCATTTTCTAACCAAGTGCTTACTTTTCTAACATGTCATTCACCAGTAATATATTTGTTATAAATCAAACTATTTTCTTGTGGATTTATTAATTGTGACTAAGATAAGAATTCACCAATCTGAATGAATTAAGATCCTTGTTAGGTTTCTTTTATATTGCTATAATCGACAAGTAGATTTCAAAAAATTAGTAATCCAAATATTGTCATTTGGACTTGAAGAAACTTTACTAGCAGTCACAGACAAATTACCGTTGTGTTTCTATTATTGGACCAATCAGGCACGTCAAAAGAGACTGTAACGACTTTATGGTGCCCATGGATTATTCTTTTTTAATCTGAAATAATCCTCAATAATAACAATAATAAGGTCCCAACAAAAAACATAACATAGTTTAATTCCTTGGCAAATGGATACACATGGCAATTCAGTAAAATGTGCTTTTAATAGAATTGTATATATTTAAGGGATGAGAACTGGATTTGCATATCAGTGATCAAATTTCCCGTCACTGCTTCTAATTGTAATGCTGATTTTTATTTTTGTCCCTTATCATTCTGTAAACATTGTATATGCACTACACATGTGATAGGCTTTTGAATTAACTGTTACGTAGTTAATTTTTTTCGGTTGTTAACTGTGAAAGCTGTTCGCTTTCGTAATTAATAACAACTTTGTCCTCCAAAAATATTCTAATTATAGTAAAATTAATAAAAAAATAAAATGTAGATAAATTGTGTTAGAAAAAATTACATGATGTATATATTTAAAATAAAACCTAACATAAATTTTATTTTAAGCAGATTAAGATTTCAATAAGTAATGTGGTGTGAATGAATCCAGTCAAATGCATTATGTATTCAAATGTGTGTATTGTAGGCAAATTTCATCTGATCTCAAGATCAGGCAGAGTTGAGAAATCAGTGGAAGCTCACAAGGGAGCAGTGTTGGCAGGAAGGTGGAGTTATGATGGAAATGCCATGGTAACAGCAGGTGAAGATGGCCAAGTAAAAATATGGTCTAGAGGTGGAATGTTGAGATCAACATTGACACAGTCAGGTATGATAGCTTTCTGTTTAATGAAATACCAAATAAGTGAATTCATGAGAGTGTATTTATTATACTTCACTTGCAATTAATACAAAATTGTTAAATAAAATGCCGTGTGTTGAATATGATATTTTCATCCACTCATATCTTTTGCATTGGATTGATCTTTTAGGTACTTCAGTGTACTCAGTGGCATGGGGTCCTGATTCTGACCAAGTTTTGTTTACAAATAGTAAACAACTTATCATTAAATCTTTGCTTGCAAATGCTAAACCCATGCAGGTGAGTAACACATTAGTTTGTAACCTTACATGTATCATTTAAGGAAACATGAATATCTTGAATGAACTAACACAATGCAGTGAATCCTGTTTTAGCTAAAGTTTTTGCTTTTTGACTGTCTGTAATTATGTTTATAATGTCTACCTTTGACAAACTTTGAGCTTATAATAAGTTGTGATTACTAATATCAAAGGTAAATAGAATGATTGCCACCATTGTGTTTCCAAATATTTGGGAAATATTTTATTAAAATCTGTGAGCAATATGTGAAATAATGTCTGTTGGGCTTTAATGAACCCTGTATACATACTAGCGGTATACATTTATTTGAATCTTGTTTATGTTCGTGTTGTAATGTAAAACATGTAATCTGTTGAACTCAGTGGAAGGCTCATGATGGTGTGATACTAAAAGTAGACTGGAACCCAGTGAATAACTTAATACTCTCTGGAGGTGAAGATTGTCGATATAAAGTATGGGACAGTTATGGTCGTCAGTTGTACTGCTCAGGATCACATGACTACCCTATCATGTCAGTTTCCTGGGCACCTGATGGTGAACTCTTTGCAGTAGGATCATTCAACACACTCAGACTGTGCGATAAATCTGGGGTGAGTATCTGTTATAAATTAGAGGTTATAAACAGCCAGCAAGGGTAGCGGATATAGCACTTTGATTTTCAATTTGATTTCTTCTCTGTAGATAAGTGCAATATTATATTACAATAAGATTATTTCCTGAGTTGGGGATTATAAAAGGGATATGGAAGCCTCAAAAGAGATCAGACCTTCCTGTTGAAAAATAGCATATTTGCCCTAATATAAGTGAGGTGATTATTGGCTAGATGTGGTATAGAAGACACACTGGGAATTTCTCACTAAATTTACATTTCAAGCAATTTTTATTATTACTTGTACCATGTTTTTCTGTTTTTTGATCTTCAGTTAGATTTTCACAAGTTTAAATTATCACTCTTCCATTCCTTAATATTTGAAGATAGTCTAATAACAAATCTCCCTTAATCACTCATGCGAGTCGTTTTTAGCTCCCAGGTCATTTTCAAAAGGCATTACCTGCAAAATCTGTTTTGTCTTCACAGATGTAAAACATTCATAAATCTAAATTACTTGTACTGTCAAGGTTTAGATAGTGTTTCTATGTTTAATCGTGCGATTTGTTATTTGTAACTCTTCCACGAACAGATTAGTACAAACCAAGACCTATTTCCTGTAATCTCGCCTGTATATCAGTCTTATTTT